TGTAATTCTAATAGGGCGTGTCCTCTGCTGGTTCTCAGCCGACGAAACAAAGCCAGTCTTTCACAGAAAGCACAGTAGCCCGTCGCGGCATCGTCATCGGTGATAGTATATACTGAGAGGTAAGAACTGACACTCAAGGGAATGAATAATGTGTTGAACAGAACATCTCAGTCTATTGTGTGGTTCTCTCCTGTATTATTGTACACTATTGGCAAACTTTATCCCACAAAATTTCGGAAGGTCGCCTGTGCGAAAGTTGTGCCTATGTCCTCGCAAAAGGCTGCAGCTAGCTGTGTGCTCTCCTCAAAGAGGAGGTTGGATTGCAATATCACGTGACTCACTCTCAGTGCTGAGTCGGCAGCCTGTCTCTATATAGCGCGTACAAAACGAGTATTATGCCAGAATGCACCTGGTGTACCCCTCATGGTATCCGTGAGACACACTAAATGACAATAGTTATAACTGAGCTAAGCATATAGCTAGTACTCTTTTCAATCCTTTCTATATATTAGCAAGATTTCAAGTGCATCCTCTGAATTTCGAGCTACTAAACTTGGCGATAAACTTTAGGGGTCGGCACCCCGGCAGCACATTCCATGCATTCCTTCACTCGCTAATTGGAATTCCTGTGCTACTCACGTGATCGGTTCCAACCTCCTCTGGTCCTCAGGAAAGGAAAAAAGGATCTTGTGACAACTTAGTCTGGTTCCCAGTCCCTTCCTTCTGTGCACATGTGTGTGGGAGAGGGTAGGGTCTGGTAGATGTCTACACCCTAGTGTGGGTCCTAGGGTGGAATGTAGAGACATGTTGTTTTCTTACCCATTCCAGCCTGTTAGAGTGGTGGACCTAAAGGAATGCTCAATCACTAATTCTCATCAATAGACACACATACAGGTATGTAAGGAGTAAATACCCAGAGGAGGAGTGTATACACCTCTTGGAGGATATGACCTGGATCACGAACTGGTCACCTCCAGTACTTCTAACCTTGGGTAATAATGGGATGTGTGTGTGTAGCATTGTTTCCCACAGGGGATAATTTAAACAGAGTGCTTATGAATTATTAATTACCTCAGCAACTAAGGCTTTCAGGCTGGCCAACATGACCTAGACTACTGGCCTGCTTGCTGGGCTCCACACAGAGAATCTTAGCAACAAGGAGCTTGGTCTAGAAAACACTATTTTTTAACAGCTGTTGGGAAATCTGCTGGCTACCTGTATCAGCGAAGCCTTTCAAGCACTTCCTGCTGTCAAGCTGAGGATTCAGCTGGCTAGCTCCATTTTTACGCATGCGCAATAATTGTACACACCCATTTTATGGATTTTCAATCCGGGCGCAGTGCCTGGAAGTTGTAATGTTGGGGGAAACACTGGTATACTGTATAACCTCTGATGAAGGACACTCCAAATAAAGACAGACTCGCTCAATTTAGGTCCCAAACGTTCACTTCCATAATACTAATACATTGTTAACCTCCAAAGAAAGGACAAAATGCCTGGTCCCAATGTGCCTAATATTCAGAGGTTCCGCCCTATGTATCTAGTGGGTGGAGCCTAGTTCTGTGAACATGCCTGTCCCGTAGCCAAGTTGCCTATGTATTTAGAGGCAGTGCTGTGTAGTGATGTTCATATGCATGCATGCAGGCCCTGTCATACAAGGCTAGCCAAGTTTAAGTTGCTCTCATCAATTATGTAGCGAAGGTTTTTTGTGCTCATAACCAATGTAGTCAGTACCGTATAATGGGAGAAGTTGAGGCCATGAACGTAGGGAGTAGGTGGAAATTTTTTATCTCACTTAGCTACATGGTTAGAATGACCAGTAAAACAAGTAGTGCTGTGAATGTTTTTCTAATAGAATGTGTGGGCTCTTAAAGCCACAGCTAACATCAGGCCACCCTTAGACTTGAAATTTGGATGCAATCCCAATTGTGAACTTTCCTCAATCATTTTTATGTAGATTGGTAGCTATAATGGCAGAGAATCCTGCTGACCGAGTGTTCTCTAAGGAAGACATTCCAACTCTTATCAATATTCTAACTCCAGTAGCTTCGAAATGCTATGCACTTGGTCTGCAGTTGGGACTGAAAGACTGGCAAATAGAGAACATAGAGAAAAATAGACATGATTGTGAATCCCAGCTACGGGATATACTAGTAAAGAGACTAAACCAGGAAGAGCCTCTCTCATGGAGGGACTTAGTCACAGCTCTTAGGTCTGACTCTGTAGGTGAACACAGGGTGGCCCATGAGATTGAGTCTCACTTCACATCTCCATCAACCCCCCACCAAGCGAGACCAAATGTCTCTCTCCCACACTGTGACACTAGTCTGTCTTCATCATCGTCTCAACTTCCCTCACAGCAAAACCAACCTGAGCGTCGTCCTACCACTTCCCTTTCTTATCCCTCTAACCATCCAACCTATTACAGCCTACCTCCACAAGTTCCCACTTACCAACCAGCCAATTATCTCTCACCACCACAAGTAGCAAATTCAGGTCTTCCTCCTCCTCTTCCTCAGTATCTCAACCAGGGTCTTCCATACAGCAGTTATCCACATCACAGCATGCAACAGCGTCCACCTCATAATCTCCCCCACCACCATACTACACACCCACCTATCAATGTGCAGGAAATGTCTGTTGTAGGTGGCCAAACAAATCCATCTCAGCCACCAGTACCCACTGCAGCTAACCCTACAGTAGCAGCTCCACCACAAACCTCAGCTGTAGCTAGTCAGACAAACCAACATCTTGGATATCCTCAACCACCAGGACCCTACATCTTTCCACACCAACCCTCTACCCCTACATTTCAACCTCAGTCCATACCTCAACACCTAAACCAAGGTCCCTTTTACAACCCATTTCCATATCATCCACTCCCACCACAATATCTCCCACAGCAGTCTCATGCACACATCCCTCCTACTCCTACTAACCTTCCCTATACCTACTTCCCTCTGCCATACCAACATGGCCCACCTCCACAAATAGCAACCTCTGCAGTCTCCCCACACAATGTCCCAGAGACTGGTGCCCCTGCTGCCAAGAGACCTAGAGAACAGTCACCAGTGAGGCCACACCCCCAGCCTCACCCACTCCCCATCCAACAACAGCCTTCTTCAACAATTCAGAGGAAACCACCACTAGTCACTAAGTACATTGACTATGTGAGGACAGTGTACAGAAAGAGTGAGGTAGAGAGAGATACACATACTGTAAAATGGCCCCCAACTCCCAGTAAGGTCTACATCAATCTGGTATGTATAGACCGTGATAAGGTTACTAGTGGGCGAAGGAGTGAATACGAAGAGGTGACAAAGGCTATGGTTCGATATGGTGATGTTGATGTTGTACATGGCAAAAAGTGGCCAATTGACTTTAATGAAATAGCAGCTGGAATTCCTGATATTGGTCTAGAGCAAGTAGTACTAGTCGAAGGTGCTCCAGGTGTGGGCAAGTCAACATTTGCATGGGAGTACTGTAGGAGGTGGGAGAGAGGGGAGATATCTCAGCAGTACCAGTTGGTCCTACTTCTCAGACTCAGAGATGAGAGAATGAGCAAAGCCAAGACTCTCAGTGATCTAATCATGCATGATTCGGAAGATGTACGTCAAGCAGTAACTGCTGATCTGGAGATTAGTCATGGTTCAAAAACACTAATCCTACTAGAAGGGTTTGACGAGCTTCCAGACACCTGTCGTACTCCACAGTCTATATTCCTTCGACTTGTATGTGGTGAGCTATTGCCGCTGGCTACTGTGATGGTCACTAGTCGACCTTGGGCTACAGGAATGTTTCTTAAGCGTTACAAGCATCGTTTGCTCCAACATATTGAGATAATGGGCTTTACTAATCAACAAATATCAGAATATATAAAGAGTGCCTTACCTGAGAATGACGCTAAGGACCTGGAGTCTTATGTTAAGAATCGTCCTCAGATCAGAGGCTGCATGTACATCCCTTTGAACAGTGCTATTGTGGTGACAGTATATCAGGACAGACAGGCCAGCGAGTGTCCTCTGCCTACAATACTAACTGAACTATACACTGCTCTCGCACAAATACTGCTAGTTCGATACCTACATGGTCATCCCGAGCTGGAGAAAGGCAGTCAATGTATAGGGATTTTTAAAGACCTACTTGTCCCATGTAGAGTACAGACAAACTTTGCTGAGCTATGTAAATTAGCATACAGAGGCATTGTAGGGGAAAGGCATCAGGTACAACTGATATTCAAAGAGTCAGAGCTACCAGCAGACTTTGACAATCTTGGGTTCATGGACTCTGTCACTGAGGTCTATGTAACTCGTGGGACAGTCTCGTCCCACAACTTCCTACATCTGACATTTCAGGAGTTCTTTGCTGCAGTCCACATCTCTACCATGTCACCAGCAGACCAATCGGATGACTTCCAGAGACACAAGGATGGTAGGTTGAATGTAGTGCAGAGATTTCTTGCTGGAATCACTAAGTTAAGCTGTTTTTCTAGTGAAGGTGCGCAACACACATTTCTAACTTCTAAAACTAGTCATTACAGCCATAAATGTGACATTAAAGTTTATAGTCAACTTGTAAACTGCATGTTTGAAACGCAGAGCAAAAACATCAGTTCACTACTCAATGTGAAACATGGCACTGGACCATTAACAATTAAGTTCAATGGTGACGAGTCAATGTTACCAATGGACTACTACTCTCTGGGTTACTGCATAGCCCACAGTGAGTGTCAGTGGGTGTTGGATATGTGTAGAGTTGCAACTTTAGATAGAGAAATGATAGAAATCCTGGTAAATAGAGCTAAACTCCGGTCTGACACTTGTGGAAGAATAGTGGGTTTTATAGGTCTGGGTGAAGTGGACATCCGTCCCCTTCTAACGACTGAGAATATTGCTGAACTTTTTATTCAGTTGAAGAATATTCTTCACCTTCATGAGTTATCTCTACCACTCTCAGTACCATGCAGTGAATTCCCATGGCCAGACCTCTCCTCACTACGAATACTAACAATATGTAGTCAAAGGACGGGAGAATTGTCATTGCACACACTATTACCACCCCTCAAACTGGAGTCCTTTAGTCTTTCATTCAGTGCGAAACTCATCAATAACTTGTTTAAGCTACCAAGTAACGACGGTGAGGCTGTTGGCAGTTACATCAGGACCTCAACCACTCTTAAGATATTGTCATTGAACGTAGCCGTGAATGAAAAAGAGACTGAGGTCATTACTAGGGCATTGGCTAGTAGTCCACTGTCACTGGAGAGACTCATACTGTTTGGATATATTTCATTTACTGACACAGCAGCAGACTATCTGGCACAATTCATCAGGAACTCCACTACACTGCAGTATCTTGTATTACTCTTGTGTAAGTTCAGGGTCGGTGGACTACGAGTACTGGCCCAGGCTCTACACCATAACTCCACACTGAAAGAGAAGGATTTGAGTGATTTGGAGGTGACTTTTGATGATGGAAGAGATGAAAAGGACTTGGAAGAAGTATTAATTGCCTTTCCAGACATGAGGAAAGCATTGCGTAGCTACATGGGTAACAACAGCAAGAATAAGTATACATCATTGCTTTCCAACATGTTGTGTACTAGCAACAACATAGCAATGCACCTGTACAAATAATGTAAAGAGATATTTTGGTTCTGTTCTCAGGTGTCAACAACTTAAGAGCAGAATAGAGACGAATCTGAGTTGAACTCAGGCTATTGTACGAATCTAACGTCCATGTGCTTAGCTAACATTTGGTTGGCATTCACATCTCCTCACAGCTCTAAAAACCACTTGCACCAAGTCACAAATAAACTTCTTGATGTTATACACAATAATGACAAGGAAAAGTAAAATCTAGTGGTCCAAGATCCGGAGGTTTCCTGACACTATCTTGTTCTCTAGCATGGCTCCAGAGGGGATGTCGATCCTGTCCCCGTGATTAGCAATGATGATTACTGTGCCCTGTGTAATGACACACACCAATGAATTAAGCCCTGGTTGAATGTAGGTAAAACTTGGAGGTCAAAAAGAGACACTGAAGCAGTACAATGGAACCTCTGATAAGGGACCCTCTGAGATAGGGACCAACTCTCTACAAAGGACACTTGTTTCAACCCCATGTATCATTTGACCTGCAAGATAGGGACGACCTCTCTACAAGGGACAAAATTGTTGGCCCCATAGTGCCCCTTGTTCGGAGGTTCCACTGTATACAAGGAAAAGGTTACTAAAACAAACTCTATGTCACTCTTTTACTGGGCCCTAGTGATCTTTTGTATGTACTGACACACTCCTTTTAAGGAAAATTTCGAGGTCCCAGTATTCAGAGACTCCAGTGATTACCTTGAGAGTGACGTTTTTTCCGAAGGTGACGTCACCAGACACTGTGAGATGGTCCAACTCTAACATGTCTGGAATGTTCTCAAACCTCTCCAGCATCTCACGAACCTGGAAACAAGAGTTGTACATCTAATACAGGCGACGACAAGTCGAGCTGGTAGCAACACATGAGAGTGTTGCACCACACAGTAATGCTGCACGTAATTCTAAATCCGCGTAAAATTGCTCCAGCAATATTGCATTCGGCATTTTCTTGTCAAAATGTGTTGCATTCGTTTTAGTGTATAATATTATATGAAACTTTTGCCACACACACAGCAGACACTTAGTACTATGCTCCATAAGTAAAGTGGTAACATGAACATGTGTGCACAACATCACGTGATGTGATATCTAGTGGCTTAACATAGCCACAACTTCACGGTGCCACATGGTGAGGTGAGGAGTGTGTCCCACCTTCATGAAGAAGTGTTCTCCGAGTTTGACGAGGGGTAGTTCGGGGTAGAGCCGGGCTGGGTTCTGGACCAGAGTCCCGTCTCTCAGCTGGAACAGGTTGGACATGACCACCAGCAGATCCGACGTCTTCTTCACTGGCAGGAAACGACTCCGAGGAACATTGATACCTGTGTGCATGGTCGACACACACAGACATGCACACGTATTACTCAGTACACACAGCATGTGGTACTTATACACATGTCAAATTTATGCATTAGAAGCCCGAGGGGTCTTGTACTCATGTAATGAAAAGCACTAAAGTGCAAACCCTCGGCGAGCTGTGCATGCACGGTACCGCTAATTGATGGGCTGGGCTCTATGAGTATGCATTTACTCGTGGTCTCCCGCTAGTAGCTAGCGGAGAGTCTGACACGGAGTAGCTACAGTAGTAGATAGCATGCAGGAGTCGAGGGCTTTTAATGTGGTAGGATGTGCTGCTCAACTGCAACTCCAACTGGTCTATAGGTGTACGTGACTTGCACTTGAAAACAAGTCTGAGTTAGAATAGTTAGACATGTGGCCTACAATGTGAGTGTGTTAGTTTATGAAGAGAAGACTACCGACTGCTCCATTGAAGTTCTTGATAGCAGCACGCAGCAGCATGTCTCAGTTGAGCACATTCACATCCTCCATCCAGACTCTGCGAGGATTGTAGATCTTAGTTAGACCACTGTGGCTCCCTCTCTCCCTATACCTATAGCTACACATAATATAAGAACGAATGCTTGGTGAGGCAACAAAAGCAAGTTCTTAGAACATTACCTTTAAATGCTGGTAGTGCATGCTGACAGCATTTTAATGAGATATGTAAAATGCAGCTAATTAGGTTGCGGCCAATGTTTCGGTTCATGCTATTGCTCCACAGCACATCCTCTCTTCCCCAGTCACCTCCCACCTGTCCCTCTCACCTTCCTGTTGACGCTGACTCCACCCTCAGGTCGCTCGTCCAGCCTCGTACAGGCAGTATGTGGCCTCTCAGACTCCCCACAGGTTGTTGGGGTCTCACCCACAGGTTGTTGGTGTGACACTTGAATCTCTGATGGACTTGAACGCGTCCACGTGTCCTTCGCAGCCTGACACCAACATACATATATAACGGCTCGTATTATACATACCTGTTACACTGTTACAGTGCAGCTCTCTCTCTTCTCTGCTCTCTCTTCTGCTCTCTCTTCTCTAAGGACACCCACGAAATAAGGACTAACACCTTGTTCTAAGTCCCAGTTGTACAGAAGTATATATGTCCCTCCATAAGTCCATCACATGTTGTGCAATTTCACTCGCAAAATACCGCACGACGTTGCGTCACATAGTGTCGCGGTCTCTTGTGACGGTGAACCAGGCTTAAAGTGCACATTCTCTCCTAAGAACATGCAGTTCTTGCATGAAACTGAAGGACACCACTAATATGGAGACTCTCTTCTGTTCCATTGGTGTCCCACTATACATTATGCATGGTGCACACACACATGTATGTATGTTCCACGCAGTAGTACAATGTGTTCTAACAAACACACACACACACACACACGGCCAGACCTGAGCAAACTCCAGGAGGTGTAGGTTTCCCTCGTAGTTAATGAGAGTGCCTCCCTTCACGTCCAACCTTGTCTTGTTTGTCACCTCCATCACAAACTCTGCTGGCACCGAGTCCTTCGGAGGATGCAGTAGAAAGTTGAGGATACCTATTATAGACCACCCAGCCAGATTTGAGATTTCAGGAAGAGATTTAGAGAAGGGAAGAAGGGAGAAACAATTGGAGCATAGATCAATACACCAGTTATGCTAATGCATGGAAAGGCCAATTATGCAATTGGCTGTGTTGTGCTTGTTCCACATACACCAATCACAGAAAGTTGTACAGTATGAACAGTAAACTGTAACCTGTTCAGTCATCTGCAGATAATACACACAGATGGATGGCTCAGGCTTTCTCATTATAAATCATGAAGTCACAACCACGGGACCCAGGCCTAGTATATTATGTGGGGAGGGTATATACTTAGCATGTCAGGGACGCTGATCAAATGCATGCTGCAGAAAACTAGGTACTCGTCCTAAGGTTTTCACAATAGTGATGCATGGTCCAAAAGAACAACATACTGAATGTTCTGGCGATGAAGAAATAACTATAAAAGGTAATAATACATGGTCTACAAATGGTGTTTGTGCGTGCAAGCTATGGATAGTTGCAGTTGTAGTGACTACTTCTCTATCTCTCACGCCGAGAGACTACGTGTAAGCACACTGAACTGATATTTTGTCTCCCAGTCTTCCCCTCACCGAGGTCTACGGTGGCTCCCAGGTAGATGAAGATGAACTCCTTGCCCTCCTCCAGGAACCTTTCCAGGAGTCCGCTCCTCTTGAGGGAGTTGTAGACATCTCCATGACCAGGAGGGTACTAGCTCCTGCGACAGGAACAGATATATACAGCGAGATAGGGAGGCAGTTACACTCGTCAACTATAGCCAAAGAATTGAGACATTACGATTGGTTGGTTTGTCATTTAGTTTACACACTTTCCTGCAAAAAATGCAAAATCAGAACCTTTTTTTTGGAGGCAGGGAAGAGTGAATGGACAGTTAAATAGAAGCTGCTATTGCACCCTCCAATACTCTGACTCACACTCCGTCCTTGAGGTCGACATTTACAGGGAAAGGTCGTAGAGTCTCTCTCAGGACGCGGGGATGGTAGCTCTGTTGAAACATGTGGAGGTAGTAATTCAAATAGATGAGATGGATTATCGTAATCATGTATGTATGCATGCTGCGGGAGGTAAACATGCTATCTACTGTATGCACTATGAAACATCTTATCCACACCTCTACAATAAAGAGTTTGTTAGTGTATCAAGGGTGTGTTTGCATAAGAGGACAATTTCATGGTCCCAGAGTCCTTTAGTCAGAGGCTCCAATGATTACCTTGAGAGTGACGTTCTTGACGAAGGTTACGTCACCAGACACTGTGATATGTCCAAATCTAACATGTTCTCAAACCTCTCCAGCACACAAATGCACACATTAGTCAGTACACGCAGCATGTTGTTACAGCGGTTTTGTCGAATTTATGCCCAAGGGGGCTTGCACTCATGTAATGCTCATAAAAAATGCTACACATGTTAAAGCCAAATGGCTTCGGATGTGCTGCCTAACTGCAAACTCCGACTGATCTACTAGGTGTATTTGGGTTGCACCGGAAAACTAAACACCTTCTGAGTCACAGTGTTTTCATGTGCGAGTGTGTATTTTACACATTGTGGGTTTATGAAGAGGAAGACTAACCCTAACTGCTCCAGGAGCAGTAGCGGAGGTTGAGTCCCAGTTGGCGTTTGCAGATCTTCTGAAAGCTGGTGTCTTGTCTGGGTTTCAGTGGTAGTTTTGTGCTGCAGATAATTTCCTCTTCAGTTCTTCAGGACCTTGACACACGGCTCCCCCCATCATGTATATACAGTGTGCGCCTGCGCAGATTTTCTCGCTCGCATATTTTTGTCGCGCTCCGCCCCCATTTCAGGACGACATCGATAAACAAAGCGAACAGCGTATCCAAGGCTGATGAAAGCGAGTCGTATGTTGGTCCAGCGTCGCGACTGACGGTATAGAGGTTAGTAATAACTAGTACACGCACTTCCTTGATATTGTGTGATGCTATGGTAGCTTTTAGCTAGAGGAACAATTTGACTCCCTCCAAGTCCTGCCTGTACGTTTTTTAAAGAAAATGTAGGTTTCTCCTATTACTAGTAGATAAGGCAAACATCTATGTACATTACGCACTAGTATTGGATAACAGTTTGCTATGTACAAAAAGCCCCTAGTTATATGGTTTATGTGGATGCTTATGCACCTGTGAGCCTATGATAGTGTGGTGAGTGTGTCCAGGAGTGATCACACATAGTGTAAATCAGATTCACTTTCCTTCCCAGCCACAAACTGCTGTGAGAGTGGTGGAGTACAGGTCTGTTCAGCCAGTAGTCCTCATCGATAGACACACACACATACAGGTATGTCAAGAGTAAATACCCTCCATACCAATGTCTTGCTAAGTACCTCTCGGAGGATATGACCTGGATCACGAACTGGTCACCTCCTGTCGCAGTTGCAGAATGCTGCCAACCTTGGGTAAAACTACAGTAGAACCTCTGATAATGATAAAGGGCACTCCGAATAGAAAAATGTCTATCAAAGGACAAATGTCTATCATTGTTCAGAGGTTCTACTGTATCTAGTGGGTGGAGACTAGTTCTGTGAACATGCCAGTCCTGCAGGGGAGTAGGACAGAGGAGGTTGGAAGCGTTTGTAACATTACGCAACGTTACATGACTCTCAGTGCAATATTTGCTGAGTCAGCAGCCTGTCTTCCCTAGGGAATGTACGGCAGAAACAAAGCCTTTGCCTGAGGCAAATCCAAACGAGTATCAGAAAATGTTTGTATGGGGGTAGATCTGACTCAAAGAGGATACTGATATGCTGCCCTACCCTGGTGTACTCCTTCTATCTGTGAGATACAGCGTTGAATACTAGACGATCTGTGCCACTTGGTACACGATAGTTACTTATCACTGAGCTGTATAAGCATACAGTACTTTTCTAGAACTTTCTGCTGCATCCTCCGAATTTCTAGCTTTATATGTCAGCACCCCGGTGGCACATTCCCTGCATTCCTTCACCTGCTAATTGGAATTCCTGTGCAGTTTACTTGAACCTCCTCTGGGTGGGGGAAGGACAAGGTTGCATAGTTAATTAGATTCACCTGATCAAAAATTCATTCTATGTGTGCCAATGCCAATAACCACAGTATTGGAGGTATGTATGCATGCAGTACCGACAGTGCGGTTGTAAACTCTCGTCTTGCTAGGCTCGACTTCAGAGGAAAGTGCTGACTTCGGGTGTAAGTATAGTTTCAGGTTGAACTAATACTGACTAATACTCGTTCTGGCTGACCGCAATAATTGTCCACGTGCCTACCTTGGAAGTCTCATCCTCGGTCTCATCACAACAACCTCGCTCACGGGACTTGTTGCGGAGGACCGACAGTGGCTCACCCTGAACTCGAAGGAGTGCTGATCACCGACACATAAACAATCGAGAGAGAGCAACGTCCCGACTTGAAAGCGTGTGCTGATGCTGACCACCGACACAACACTATAATTGTTACTGTTACGATGCAGTCTCATCCCCGATCTAGTGGTAGAATCATTCAAGCCTGCCATTGGAACTGTGTTTTGCCCGTGGTTAGCCAACTTGTAGCTATAAGTGCAGCACCAGTCTCTGGTCCTGTATGGCAAGATCCATACCATCAACTACCTATAATTGTTATGGATGTCTCAGAGGATATGACCAGGATCACGAACTGGTCACCTCCAGCAGTGAATGCTGCTAACTTTGGGTAAAAATGGGACAAGTATGGATGCAGTAGAACCTCTGATAAAGGACACTCCGCATAGGTCCAAAACTAATTTAACTTCCAAATGGAGGACAACCTCCATATAAAGGCCCAACGTGTCCATTATTCAGAGGTTCCACTGTATCTAGTGGGTGGCTCTACGAAACGCGTGTGACATGGTGAAAGATTGGGAACTCCCCTGAATACCAGTACCAAAGAGCCTAGCACTGCACCTGCATGTTGCCGGACTTGTGAATAGGTTTACATGTACATTTAAGCACCTGGCTGGCTGCCTGCAGTGACGCCGACAAAAGCCGCCCACCCTCTCTCGTTGGCTTTAGTCCTGCCTACACTTACCTCTCTTCCTTCTTTCCCCAATCACAAACACACACACACCATTTTTACACTTGTGAGTATCACTTAGAGTAAAATACATCACCCAGGACCCTAGAGTAACAAGCCCACTTCCCCCTTGGGAAATTCCATGCCTATGACATCACAACTCCCTATAATAATACCCCACTGTGCATTAGTAGAACCATAGGATTGCAAGTCCCCCAGAGAGCCTAAGGCATGTGATTGTCAATATACAGTACTGTAAGCTGTAGATCTTGCATGAGAGTCTGTGGCATTGGATGTGTGGGGAGAGTTGGCTGCCATAAAAGATCTTTAACCCACCGTCCCCAGTTCTCAAGGCTATAGGCATCCATGTCCTGCTCTTGTGTTTGTATGAGTGAGACTGTGTAACTACAATGTGATAGGCTAGGGCTGCACAGGCGCAAAACACTGAAGCAGAAGTGGGTACCCTGGTCCATCTAAAAATACATGTAATTTTGACCACTGAGCTGCCGCGTGTAGTAAAGTTGACAAAATTCTCCCAGCCTCTGGTCTCATTGAGTTTGTGTTTGGTCACTTTCCTTTCTCCCCCTTTCCCTTCCTTTCTTCTCGATCACACCCACACACACACAAGGAAGCCCACTGTATCTAGTGGGTGGTTCTACGAACATGCCTGTCCCATAGCCAAGATGCCTAAGTATGTATTTGGAGGCTGATTGTGCTGTTTTTGAAGGCAGTGCTGTGTAGTGAGGTTCATATGCATGTAGGCCCTGTGACACAAGGCTAGCCAAGTTTAACTTGCTCTCAACGAGAAGGTTTTGGATGCTCTAGTCAGTATAATTATACCGTATAGTGGGAAAAGATGAGGCCCTAATGAGCGTGAGCAGTATGTTGTAAATGTTTTCTCGCTTACATAGCTGGAATAAGTATTTTAAGTCTTATGACCAGTATAGTATACCTGAGAAAGTGTTTTGCCAACATAACCCCGAGTGAAACTAGCCTAAATAGCTAACTTGGTTCACATGCATGATAGACGTACTTGTGCTAAAGATGCATGGTGCTAGTTAAATTCGAAACGTACTCTCTGCCCTGAACACGGATGATTTTTCTTCATTCATGCACTCTCCTAACTTGTAATAAGAATGATGATCCCCATAGTGTGCATCTGCTACTGGTTTGAAAGATCTCTGATCTGCCCCAATTGTCCCATAATGACACGAGTAATATAACAAGCTCAAAATCACAGTATTTACCACCCATTTTGTGTACTATGTACCTCCCTCAATTAGATTGGTAATGATGGCAGAGAATCATACTGACCGAGTGTTGTCTAAGGAAGACATTCCAACTCTTATCAATATTCTAACTCCAGTAGCTTGGAAATGCTCTGCACTTGGTCTGCAGTTGGGGTTGAAAGACTGGCAAATAAAGAACATAGAGAAAAATAGACATGATTGTGAGTCCCAACTGCAGGAGATACTAGTAGAGAGACTAAACCAGGAAGAACCTCTCTCATTGAGGGACTTAGTCACAGCTCTTAGCTCCAACTCTGTTCGTGTACACCAGGTGGCCAACCAGATTGAGTCTCACTTGACGTCTGTCCCAAATGTCCCAGAGACTGGTGCCCCTGCTGCCAAGAGACCTAGAGAACAGTCACCAGTGAGGCCACACTCCCAGCCTCACCAACTCCCCAGTCAACAGCCTTCAACAAGTCAGAGGAAACCACCACTAGTCACTCAGTACATTGACTATGTGAGGATAGTGTACAAGTCCAGTGAGGTAGAGAAAGATTCACGCACTTTAAAGTGGCCCCCAACTCCCAGTACGATCTACATCAATCTGGTATGTATAGATCGTAGAAAGGTTAAACGAAGAAGTGATTATGACAAAGTAACAAAGGCTATGATTCAAAGTGGTGATGTTGACGTTGTGCATGGTAAAAAGTGGCCAATCAACTTCGATGAAATAGCAGCTGGTGATATGGGGCAAAGGAGAGTTTTACTAGTGGAGGGTGCTCCAGGTGTGGGCAAGTCAACATTTGCATGGGAGTACTGTAGGAGGTGGGAGAAAGGGGAGATATCTCAGCAGTACCAGTTGGTCCTACTTCTCAGACTCAGAGATGAGAGAATGAGCAAAGCCAAGACTCTCAGTGATCTAATCACGTATGATTCAGAATATGTACGTCAAGCAGTAACTGCTGATCTGGAGCAGAGTCATGGTTTAGAAACACTAATCCTACTAGAAGGGTTTGACGAGCTTCCAGACACCAGTCGTACTCCACAGTCTATATTCCTTCAACTTATACGTGGTGAGCTATTGCCGCTGGCTACTGTGATGGTCACCAGTCGACCTTGGGCTACAGGAATGTTTCTTGAGCATTACAATCATCGTTTGTTCCAACATATTGAGATAATGGGCTTTACTACTAAAAAAATATATGAATATATAAAGAGTGCTGACTTAACTGAGAATGAAGCTAAGGACCTGGAGTCTTATGTTAAGAATCGTCCTCAGATCAGAGGCTGCATGTACATCCCTCTGAACAGTGCTATTGTGGTGACAGTATATCAGGAGAGACAGGCCAGCGGGTGTCCTCTGCCTACAACACTAACTGAACTATACACTGCTCTCACACAAATACTGCTGTTTCGATACCTACGTGGTCATCCCGAGCTGGAGAAAGGCAGTCAATCTATAGAGATTTTTAAAGACCTACTTGTCCCATGTGGAGTACAGACAAACTTTGCCGAGCTATGTAAATTAGCATACAAAGGCATTGTAGGGGAAAGTGATCAGGTACAACTGATATTCAAAGAGTCAGAGCTACCAGCAGACTTTGACAATCTTGGGTTCATGGACTCTGTTACTGAGCTCTATGTAACTCGTGGGACAGTCTCGTCCCACAACTTCCTACATCTGACATTTCAGGAGTTCTTTGCTGCAGTCCACATCTCTACCATGTCACCACCAGACCAAATGATACACTTCCAGAGACACAAGGATGGTAGGTTGAATCCAGTGCTGAGATTTCTGGCTGGAATCACTAAGTTAAGCTGTTTTTCTAGTGAAGGTGCTCAACACACATTTCTCCATTCTACAACTACAACTGATCATTACAGCCATAAATGTGACATCGAAGTTGATAGTCAATTTGTAAACTGGATGTTTGAAACGCAGAGCAAAAACGTCAGTGCACCTCTCAATGTGAAACATGGCACTGGACCATTAACAATTGAGTTCAAAGGCGGCTGGTCAATGTTACCAATGGACTACTACTCTCTGGGTTACTGCATAGGCCACAGTGAGTGTCAGTGGGTGTTGGATCTTGTTGACGTTGAAGATTTTGATACAGAAATGATAGAAATTCTGATGACCGGAGCTAAACTCAGGTCTGACACTTGTGGAAGAGTGGTGGGTTTTATAGGTGGGGTTGAAGAGTATTCGACCTCTCTTAACACTGAGAATATTGCTAAACTTTTTATTCAGTTGAAGAGTATTCTTAATCTTCATGAGTTATCTCTACCACTCTCAGTACCGTGCAATGACTTCCCATGGCCAGACCTCTCCTCACTACGAATACTAACAATACATTTTCAAATGAGAGAATTGGCATTACACACATTATTACCACCCCTCAAACTGGTGTCCTTAACTCTTAACGGCGATCACCAGGAACCTTGTGCGCTACAAAGTAACGATTGTGAGGCTGTTGGCAGCTACATCAGGACTGCAACCACTCTTAAGGAATTGACATTAAAGAATGTAACTGTGAATGAAGAAGGGATGGAGGTCATTACTAGGGCATTGGCTAGTAGTCCACTGTCACTGGAGACACTCAGACTGAATGGAGAAACACTGGTAGAAAGTTTTTCATTTACTGACACAGCTGCAGACTATCTGGCACAATTCATCAGGAACTCCACTACACTGCAGTATCTTTTATTAATCGGGTGTAAGTTCAGGGTTGGTGGAATACGAGTACTGGCCCAGGCTCTACACTATACCTTCCCACTGAAAGAGAAGCATTTGAATGATTTCGGGGTGACTTTTGATGATGGAAGAGATAAAGAGGACTTGGAAGAAGTATTAAGAGCCTTTCCAGACATGAGAGATACATTATATACATGGTAACAACAGCAAGAATAAGTACACCATTGCTTTACAACATGTTGTGTACTAGCAACAACATAGCAATGCACCTGTACATACATCGTCAATAATGTAAAGAGATATTTTGGTTCTGTTCTCAGGTGTCAAACTTAAGAGTAGAATAGAAGCAAATCTGAGTTGAACTCAGGCTATTGTACGAATCCAGCGTCCATGTCCTTAGCTAACATTTGGTTGGTATTCACATCTCTTCACAGATCTAAAAACCACTTGCACCAGGTCACAAATAAACTTCTGGATGTTATACACAATAATGACAAGGAAAAGTAAAATCTAGTGGTCCAAGATCCGGAGGTTTCCTGACACTATCTTGTTCTCTAGCATGGCTCCAGAGGGGATGTCGATCCTGTCCCCATGATTAGCAATGATGATTACTGTGCCCTGTGTAACGACAAGCCCTAGTTGAATGGAGGTAAGATACTGGAGGTCAAAAGAAGACACTGCAGCAGTAGAAAGCAAAATGTTGTTACTAAAGATGGAACTAAACAATAGAGCCCAGTGCAAGAATGCAGTTAGGTTTCCATTTATAGGAAACTTAGCCCTTCCATACTGCCACATTCCATACTTTAGTGTAAGGACACCTCTACATGTGGTGGTATATAAGACTAAGTTTAGAAAAGGTTACTAAAACAAACTTTATGGCACTCTTGCACTGATCTTTAGTAACAGTTCCATGTACCGACAACCCCTGCCCTGCCCTTATGTACTGACACACTCCTTTTAAGGAAGATTTCGAGGTCCCAGCATTCAGACGCTCCAATGATTACCTTGAGAGTGACGTTTTTTCCGAAGGTGACGTCACCAGACACTGTGAGATGGTCCAACTCTAACATGTCTGGAATGTTCTCAAACCTCTCCAGCATCTCACGAACCTGGAAACAAGAGTTGTACTTCACAAGACATCTAATACAGGCGACGACAAGTCGAGCTGGTAGCAACACATGAGAGTGTTGCCATCTTTTATAAGTACAGAGAGCTGACCTGAAAATAACTGGCAAGTGAAGCTAGCCTACACAGTTGACTGAATGCGGTTCACACAGCAAAACTTAGTACTATGGTAAAGTGGTAACATGAACATGTGTGCACAACATCACATGATGTGATATCTAGTGGCTTAACATAGCCACAACTTCTACATGCTGAGGTGAGGAGTGTGTCCCACCTTCATGAAGAAGTGTTCTCCGAGTTTGACGAGGGGTAGTTCAGGGTAGAGCCGGGCTGGGTTCTGGACCAGAGTCCCGTCTCTCAGCTGGAACAGGTTGGACATGACCACCAGCAGATCCGACGTCTTCTTCACTGGCAGGAAACGACTCCGAGGAACATTGATACCTGTGTGCATGGTCGACACACACACAGACATGCACACGTATTACTCAGTACACACAGCATGTGGTACTTATACACATGTCGAATTTATGCATTAGAAGCCCGAGGGGGCTTGTACTCCAGAGTACTAAAGTGCAAACCCTCGGCGAACTGCGCATGCGCGGTACCGCTAATTGATGGGCTGGGCTCTATGAGTATGCATTTACTCGTGGTCTCCCGCTAGTATATAGCTCGCGGAGAGTCTGACACGGGCTAGCTACAGTAGTAGATAGCATGCGGGAGTCGAGGGCTTTTAATGTGGTAGGATGTGCTGCTTAACTGCAACTCCAACTGGTCTATAGGTGTACGTGGCTTGCACTTGAAAACCATTTCTGAGTTAGAATAGACATGTGCCTACAATGTGAGTGTGTTAGTTTATGAAGAGGAAGACTAACCAACTGCTCCATTGAAGTTCTTGATAGCAGCACCAGCAGCTGTCTCCAGTTGAATCACATTCACTCCTCCATCCAGACTCTGAGTGGAGGTAATTCTCAGTTACACCACTGTGGCTCCCTCTGTCTCTATACTTATAGCTGCATACTAGAATGAATGCTTGGTGAGCAAACGAAACATTAGACGTGACCTTTTCAGTCCTCTGCATGACGCTAGTGCATGCTGACAGCAATCAAATGCTGCTGAGCTGCCCTGGTAGCTCAGTGGGTAAGAGCGCTCTGCCTAGACTGCAGAGTGTCGTGGGTTCGAATCTCACCTAGGGCAGCTCTTCTTTAGTGTTGTCTTGGGTGTAGTTGACTTGTTCGGTTTGCTTTTGCCTTGCAGCCTCGTTGATAAAACACAACTAGGTGGGCTTTTTTGCTGCCAATGTTTCAGTCTACATGCTTTCCTCAGTCACCTCTCCCGTTCCTCCCTCCCCCTCACCTTCCTGTTGACGATAACCTCCACCCTCATGGTCTCCTCGTCCAGCAGTCTCTTGATGGCTCTCAGACTCACCCACAGGTTGTTGGTGTTGAACACCTTGAACTTCTTGATGGACTTGAACTCGTCCACGTTGTCCTTCGGCACCTGCACCAACATACATATATAATGGCTCTATTGTATACATACATGTTACACTGTACAGTGCAAGCTCTCTCTTCTGTCACGGTCTCTTGTGACGGTGAACCAGGATTAAAGTGCACATTCTTTCCTAAGAACATGCAGTTCTTGAGTGAAACTGAAGGACACCACTAATATGGAGACTCTCTTCTGTTCCATTGGTGTCCCACTATACATTATGGTGCACACACACATGTATGTATGTTCCACGCAGTAGTACAATGTGTTCTAACAAACACACACACACACACACGGCCAGACCTGAGCAAACTCCAGGAGGTGTAGGTTTCCCTCGTAGTTAATGAGAGTGCCTCCCTTCACGTCCGACCTCGTCTTGTTTGTCACCTCCATCACAAACTCTGCTGGCACCGAGTCCTTCGGAGGATGCAGTAGAAAGTTGAGGATACCTATTATAGACCACCCCGACAGATTTGTGATTTCAGGAAGAGATTTAGAGAAGGGAAGAAGGGAGAAACAATTGGAGCATAGATCAATACACCAGTTATGCTAATGCATGGAAAGGCCAATTATGCAATTGGCTGTGTTGTGCTTGTTCCATCCGCAGCGACATACACCAATCACAGAAAGTTGTATGTAAAAATAATACTACAGTAAACTGTAACCTGTGCAGTCATCTGCAGATAATACACATGGATGGATGGCTCAGGCTTTCTCTTTATAAATCATGAAGTCACAACCACGGGACCCAGGCCTAGTATATTATGTGGGGAGGGTATATACTTAGCATGTCAGGGACGCTGATCAAATGCATGCTGCAGAAAACTAGGTACTCATTCTAAGGTTTTCACAATAGTGATGCATGGTCCAAAAGAACAACATGCTGAATGTTCTGGCAATGAAGAAAGAACTATAAAAGAGTAATAATGCATGGTCTACAAGTGGTGTTTGTGTGTGCAAGCTATGGATAGTTGCAGTTGTAGCGACTACTTCTCTCTCTCTCACGCCGAGAGACTACGTGTAAGCACACTGAAAGTGATATTTTGTCTCCCAGTCTTTCCCCTCACCGAGGTCGACGGTGGCTCCCAGGTAGATGAAGATGAACTCCTTGCCCTCCTCCAGGAACCTTTCCAGGAGTCCGCTCCTCTTGAGGGAGTTGTAGACATCTCCGTGACCAGGAGGGTACCAGCTCCTGCGACAGGAACATACAGCGAGATAGGGA